TGTACAGTAAATGATGCAGGTATGGTTTATAAATTAAATTTATAAATAAATCAACTATTTTTTATTAAACATTATTTTTGTAATGTTTGTCCAAATACTGTGATTATCAAAAATTTTTTTCTGAAATATCTTAATTGTTCTGAAAACGTTTTTAAAAGTTTAAAAAAAATTTATTTTCAAAATATAAATATCCAAGCCTGATAGTTATATATTAAAGCCAAATGGTTACCAGATTATATTGGGCTATATTATTACTATTGTTATTAATTAAATGCTAAGTAATTTGGTAAGAGATGGTGCCTAATGCCTGTCTCTAGTGCCAAATTAATTAGCATTTAATTAATAATAATAATAATAATAATAGTAATATAACCTGATATAATCTGGCAGTCATTTAGCTTTAATTTTTGTTTTAGTTTTTTACTTTGTTTATATTATTTAAAAAGAATTAGCATATAAGGCCTAATTAATATTACTGCAATAAAATAATAAAAAATATATATATTTGTATGAATAACAAAATTAACACGAATAGTAAATTAAGTAAAGAACTAAAATAAGAATATTTATATTCTAAATTTATACATTAAGGATAGTATTTTGTTGCAAATATGAATTCAGTGATAATTTTTTTCCTTTAATGGATTAAATTAAAATTAAATGTTTTGATAACTAATTGCAGGAATATAATTAAGCCTCACTATATAATTATAATTTATTACTGTATGTAATAGTGTTTTTTAGAATTTGTAATTAATTACTTATGGTAATATTTTGTCTTATTAATGTGATACAGATTTTATATTTTAAGATAGTTTTGATAAAAATTTGATAGATTGCTAGTTTTGAAATAGATGTTATTATTGCATCAGTATCAAAGTTTATTAGTATCATTTAATATTCTATTAAAGTATAATTTCCAGTAGCAGTCATACTTTGGTTGAATATGGTTGGTACTAACTTGTAGATTGGACATTCTGTAAGCTAGAAACATATCTTGACGTGTGTAATATGTTCTTAGAATTTTTAAGTTTTTACTCAGTAACAAAAATTAATATATAAATAATCCATAATTATTAAAATTATCATGAGATAAAGGCCTAACCATCCACCTCCAGTCTGATTACTTTATACCTGATTATTAGTTTTATTATAGCCTAATAATATAGCAAGTCATTTTGCATTAACAAAAACTAAAAGATAATTTATGGTTAGGTGTAGTTATTTGCATTTTGTAAATGACATATGAATTTATACATTTATGTATTTTTAATACATAAGTAATTGATTCTGTAATTGCAGAGAAAATAATAATTATTTAGAGAAACAATATCAAAGTATTTGATTAATTTAGGTTTTTTTTCTGTGTTTCTTTTTCCTAAATTTATTTCAATATGATATTGTAGAATTTGCTTATTGTAATCACTTCGGAATTAATCTATAGTGGTAACATTAAAAAATTTCTAATAAGCAAGGTATGTAAATAAGACTATAATTAGTGGAAATTTTAGTTGTATTGACTCTTATAGTTAAGAGATGTTAAAATAATTTAAAAAATGTACAAGTTGAATATTTATTAATTATAATTGTCATTATTCGTTACTATTAATTCATCTAGCATATAATTGAAGCAGCAGATTTTGTCAGCAATTTAAACTACTGTACTACAAGCAAAAACAATGTTTAATATTTAAAGTGCTGGTTAAGGATAACTGATAACATGAATTTCTTATCAGTTGCACATTATCGCATTGAGGCTGATATTGCAAAAAGACAGCTTAAAAATATCTGTTTATCTGAAAACAACAACTATAACTGAAACTGCAGTTACAATAATCAAAATTTTATAAGTGTACTTCTGCTGGTATGTTTTGGGACTTGCTGATTCTGATAACAATAAATGACTCACAGATAAAAGCTTTAGTAGTAAACAACTCAATTATCTACACACAACCTTGTACAGCAGCAAAAAATGACTGCAACAATAAATGACTGATAATATTTGTGATTACAATAAGTGGATTCTTCTGTATGGGAAAAGTCTGAAAAATTATAAATTAGATAATAATTGAAGATATCAGATGATGATGTGTTACTGGAATGCCAAATTAACAAAATCATTAAATAATTAAAATATGACTTTGTAAAAAAATTATAGAAAATAATAAAGTTTTTGGCATTACCATTGAAAAAAGTGAATAAATATTTTTATTTCTTGTTATAAATTAAATTTCAAATGATTTTGGGTTTTCCAGTTAATTTCAATGAACAGTACTTGGACAAATATAGCATTTTTTATATTCAAATTTCTATGTATAATTAAATACAAATGTATTATTGTTGTTTTCTGTTAATTAATTTTGAAAAAGAAATTTTGTGTATTTCAGATAAAACAGATGATACAAAAATGCTTGAAGAATTTTTATCTAATGTAGCAGCACCTTCAGTAAGTGACTTCATATTCATGAAAGTTTAGGGAATGAAAGAGGAAAAAATCTTAATTTCTAAATAAAATGAATTTATATGAAATATATTTGAGTTTTTAATACTTTTTAGGTGACTGAAGTATCAGCTAGAACTGCATTAATTTCTTGGAAACCAATAGAGCAGTCTTCAGAAAAAGATGATGGGAAACTTAATGAGAACATCAATAAAGAAGCCATTATGTATGAAATATTACTCTCTGATAAAGGAAAAGAAGATACTTACAAAAGCATTGGAAAAAGGTAAATTATATATTAAAAGTTAATCAAATAAACATTTTCAATGAGGAGACAAGCAGAAGTGGAATTGATGATAATGAATCAGTAATTTATATCAGATAGTTTTTTTATATTTAAGTAATAAACGAACAAATGACTGAGTAGTTAATATTATAACCAAGTATAACATATTTTGAAACCAAATCCATATCCCTAAACATTAATAAGATTTGAGAATTTGTGTGTTTCTAAATATTATTAATTTTATAATAAGATTTATATATAAAAATAACAATTTTGATACAACAGTTAAGTTATAAAGATGGCATTATAAATATTCATCAACATTATTAAATCATATGAAAATATTAGTAACATAGTATTAAGTATTGCCAATACATGTTATCAGTAACTCCATACTGCTTACAATAATGTTAATGGTTTTTAATCTTTATTATTCAGTTGAAGCTATACTGTGGCTTATTATGCAATTTATTTTTAATGTTATGTTCAAAAAAGAAATTAGAAAGCAAAATTAAAACAAAATGTAAAATCATTAAGTAATAAAAATTAGTGTTCAAATGTTTAAATGAAAGCAGCAACAACTCAGTTAATTCTCATAATCAAGGCATGGTTAAGAGACAATTCTCGTAACCAAGGCATGGTTACCTTTTTCTTACAATTAACACTCCATCCATAGTTGGTTACGACTATGGATGGAGTGTTAATTGTAAGAAAAAGAAAATTTGAATTACATTGAATATGTTTTTAATATTAAGACAAAAAATTCCTTGAATGATTGACATTTATGTCAAATTAATGCTCAATAGTTAAGTCTTTAAAGTTGGAACAGTTGCACATGACCCAAACATGACTTGATCACTTGACTATACTATGATTGCATCATAGTTGTGACACATGGATGTAACAAAGGAAATTGTTAAACTGTTATATTGATAAAATTTGTATATACAGGATACATATCATCAAATTTCTCTTGAGATAATGTTCTTAAAAGTAATTGAAGTAAATAATTTATTTTTCTTCTTATTAACAGTTCTTGATTCTGCAGTTTTCACATAACTGGGCACAAACGTATGAAGCTGAAAATAAACTTATAGTGGAAACTTTATTATCAGAAGTTGGTAGGACAAAGGGTGTTTAGGAGAAACAAACAAAATTTTGGAAAATACAGAAACTGGTTTGTGTTTTGGGTATTAAAGAACTATGTGTTTAAAGTCTCTTAATAATAATATATAATACAATTATTGTATTTGAAACTAATTTGCTCAAAATCTAACTCAATGTTATGTATGTGACCTAGTTTTGCAGTGCTACAATCAGCAGATGATGGAATGATTTCTAGTTGCCTGAGAGTTTTGTTTCTGTGTATCACTGTAGTATACACAATGCTATGAATTCTAGTTTTTTTTAATCATTTCAGGTAATCAAGTTTCTACTATAACTTGATGACAGGAAATTGGAGTAAAGAAATTGGTAAAAGAACATCAAACTGACTTAAAATATAAAGATAATTTTCCATTTTAGCTTCACTATACAGTAGATAAAGAAAATATTAAAATTATGAAAAATGAAATAGGTCCATATAAAAGAAAAATTAAAGAATGATTAAATTAATAAAATATAATAGTACTAGTAACCAACATCAAGTATGAATATAGACATAATCTAGTATTTGTTAACAAAATACTTGACAGAATTTTATTCAAATAATTTCCCCAAATATCTAGAAAAAATGGTAGAAATGGGAAGGTCTGTCTAGGGAGAGAAGACTAAATTAACTTAAAAGTAATTAGTTTTTAGGAGTGTTCTAAAAAAGAATTATTGGCAAGTCAGTACTTGAAAAGAGAAAGAAATAAGATTTGCTCATTATATCTTCACTTATGAATAATTTTTTGTGAAACATTGTTTTAATTGATCATATTTTAAAGAGAATCTTTAACTCCAATATTGGAAAAACTGAAGAGGGCAAATTTGACATCAAAAATAAGTCCAAAATGCATATTTTATGGTAATTTGGAAGGAGGGGAGTGTTCTTACTTGTTTATAATTGATAATTTATGTAAATTAAATCAAAAAAAATAAAAATATAAACTTAACCAGCATTCAAAAAATTAGATANTTCGATTTGTCACTTTTTCGTCATAGAGTTCCCATTTTACAATCACATGACTCAGCCTGATGATAACGGAGAAAAGACACAGGATGTCGATATAAGTCACAGTTATGATTTCACAGATTCAAGACAGCTTGATAGCCCAAATGGCCCCAGGCTTTCGTCCGTGCACGCTAAGTGACTTTCATTACAAGCATTTAGCTTTCCGAAGTCTATGACAACAATTGTTTGGCATTGACGGGCGCGAATTTCGTGCCAATAAGCTGCCTCGACTTGTTCGATTATGTTATCAACTCAATTTCATATTTATTTTCACATTTTCACTTCGCGGTCCTTTGATATCATCATTTATCACATACTTCCATGACACTCTTGTCTGTCGGCTACAACTGCCAAGAATTAACACGATTGGCGAAGCATAGTGACAGCGGGCCAATAGAGAGCAGGATCCTTGCCATAATGTGGTTTGCGCGGCAATTTTTGTACGTGCGTTAATCAAGCCGAATAGTTTGGCCAAATATTCGGCTATTCGGCCACGCTCCTGGCCGAATATTTGGTATTCGGCCTGAGGCCGAATATACTATTCATTACAACACTAACAACAACCAAAACAAAATAAAAAAAATTTGGTAAAAGCTAATTAAACAGGTAAAATAAATTTGTTGAGTTTCCTTTAATATATAATTTATGGAATAAACTAATATTTCTTTAAACTTTCCTAATTACTTGTTCTCTTATATATTTTTTGTTCAGCAACCATTTTAAATTTCACATCTTACAAGCATGCATTAGTTTTTTCTACTGTATTGCATAAATTTAAAAAATATATTTTCTGTTATATTTATTTTTTATTATCTATTTATTTATTTTGTTAATATATTGTTCTGTTAAATAAAATAAAATATTATACTTAAAGTAAATCAAACTAAGATATATTAAGTTAATTAACATGAAACACCATACACATTTTTGCAGCAAAATAATAATTAATTGAAGCAACAACAAACATTTTTGGCCTCTCAGAGGCCTGCTATAGGCATCAGTCATTACTGAACCAATATTAGCCAAGATTCTGAATTTATAAAGTTTTTAGAAGTATGTTCCATTGATGTCATCACATTTGAATAGTTAACAAGTATATCAGAAAATGTACTTATTTAAATAGAATATTTTTTATTATACATTAAAATTAAACTTCTAAAATTTATAACAGAAGATAAACATGATTTTACATGAGACATATACTGTAATATATATATATATATATATATATTTATTATATATCTGTATAATCCTCACTCTGATACTGTATGTTATCTTTCGTTTAGTGGTTATTGACCAATGACTGCAATCTGGTTGATTGTCTTGCACTCTTTACTATTATTGCAATATCCATTGATTGCTATATAGAATATCATCCATGCTTCCAGAGTTTGTAGTTTTGAATGTTGAAGACTTTTCTTATCAGTTTTACAAAAGATATAATTATCCCAGATAATTGACATCCCCTGGGCTTAATCTCATATTGGGCCATTGTTGTTACAAGTTTATTATTAGAGACATCATGTTGGTGCTCTTTAATTTTATACATCAATGATAACAGATTTAAGATGCCTCCTAAATCTGTTATCATATATGGGAACTGAGTATACCCCAGGTGCTCTATTCTCATTAATCTTATCTTTAACATAGGATAAAATATGGAAGATAGATGGACTATGTCATATGTTATCCTTACATTAACATATTTTGCTATCTGTGTTTGTAGCATGCAGCCTCAGGTCAAAGTCAACTATAAGATGTCTGTGTTCAAATGTTTGCAGCTTTACTTCATTTTTCTTGGTTTTTGGGTATGTAGAGTTATGAAGCTGAATGTTCTGAGCCAATGTAGGAATAAGTATTACTGCTATGTTGTTAATGACTCCAATTCTATTATAGTAGTTAGCATTGAAGCAGTGGGTAAAAATTCTATTCATCAATATGTTAAATGTAGCCAGCTTATAATCATATGTATCCAGAAATGCCTGTTGTTGCTGCTGTTCCAATTAAACATTATTTTGCTGGAAGAGTGTGTTTGGTATTTTATGTTAATTTGCGGCTATTCCAGCTATGGAAGTAATGAGTAATTATTTCTCTCTTTATCATTAATTCTTTAAATTATTATAATTTGTATATTTGATTATAGAAATACAGTAAATATCTATTTCAATATAGATATTTGACTGTCATGGTGCATCTGGCTTGCATCAGTTTCATTTTGTTTAAAGTATAATTTACTTGTATTAATTTGAATTTTAGAACATATCATCTGAAAAGATTCCAATAGGATATTATGGTTTTAATTTGATTTCACAAAAAAATGATGTATTAAATTGAAATTTAGTGCATAGGAATGAATTGGAACTATTAAGTAATTTTTTTTCTCTAGTAATAACTTTTTTCTGTAGCTTATATAAAAGAATAGGCTAAAGTACATGTGTCAAAAATAATTTGACTGTCATATTTGTAGTATAAATATGTAACATGAAAGACACATTTGACATATTTCATATGGTAAACTTGAGGTGGATGATATGCAATAAATATGAAAGTTATAAATAAGAAAAATAAGGATAGATTCAAGCTTTTCATGATTTACTTATAAACATGATCTGAAACAATTACAATCATATTGGAAATAGATGAAGATAAATGAATGTGCAAATCTGTATTAAAATAGTATGATAAGAGACCTGTTCAAAATTAAAAAGAAACAACAACTAGTGATGTAATGAATATTCAGTTACTATTCGGTATTCTGCCTATTTTTCACTATTCGGCTGAATACCGAATATTTAAACACTATTCGGCCGAATACCTAAAAACAGGAGTAATAAATAACAAAAACACAGTAAATTAATCATTTTGGTACTTAGATTTAATGTTATCGAGTTAGTGTTGTTTGTTTATATTTATTTATAACTTGAAACATGCACAAAATAAAAAAGAAAATAATATTAGTCACATGTATTCACAATTTATAATTACAAAGATCAGCACACGTACACGTCTATCGTTGGAGAATCGTTGCACATCTGAGGGTCTGACCCTGCCTATCCTTCTTTTTAAGCGCTCGTCTTTGCTCTTCCCTTTCTCTTACCTCTATCGCTCTAATCCATGTATGCCTGTGCATACATCATAATACGCGCTCACGATACTTTCGATTCNAGGTATGGTTTATAAATTAAATTTATAAATAAATCAACTATTTTTTATTAAACATTATTTTTGTAATGTTTGTCCAAATACTGTGATTATCAAAAATTTTTTTCTGAAATATCTTAATTGTTCTGAAAACGTTTTTAAAAGTTTAAAAAAAATTTATTTTCAAAATATAAATATCCAAGCCTGATAGTTATATATTAAAGCCAAATGGTTACCAGATTATATTGGGCTATATTATTACTATTGTTATTAATTAAATGCTAAGTAATTTGGTAAGAGATGGTGCCTAATGCCTGTCTCTAGTGCCAAATTAATTAGCATTTAATTAATAATAATAATAATAATAATAGTAATATAACCTGATATAATCTGGCAGTCATTTAGCTTTAATTTTTGTTTTAGTTTTTTACTTTGTTTATATTATTTAAAAAGAATTAGCATATAAGGCCTAATTAATATTACTGCAATAAAATAATAAAAAATATATATATTTGTATGAATAACAAAATTAACACGAATAGTAAATTAAGTAAAGAACTAAAATAAGAATATTTATATTCTAAATTTATACATTAAGGATAGTATTTTGTTGCAAATATGAATTCAGTGATAATTTTTTTCCTTTAATGGATTAAATTAAAATTAAATGTTTTGATAACTAATTGCAGGAATATAATTAAGCCTCACTATATAATTATAATTTATTACTGTATGTAATAGTGTTTTTTAGAATTTGTAATTAATTACTTATGGTAATATTTTGTCTTATTAATGTGATACAGATTTTATATTTTAAGATAGTTTTGATAAAAATTTGATAGATTGCTAGTTTTGAAATAGATGTTATTATTGCATCAGTATCAAAGTTTATTAGTATCATTTAATATTCTATTAAAGTATAATTTCCAGTAGCAGTCATACTTTGGTTGAATATGGTTGGTACTAACTTGTAGATTGGACATTCTGTAAGCTAGAAACATATCTTGACGTGTGTAATATGTTCTTAGAATTTTTAAGTTTTTACTCAGTAACAAAAATTAATATATAAATAATCCATAATTATTAAAATTATCATGAGATAAAGGCCTAACCATCCACCTCCAGTCTGATTACTTTATACCTGATTATTAGTTTTATTATAGCCTAATAATATAGCAAGTCATTTTGCATTAACAAAAACTAAAAGATAATTTATGGTTAGGTGTAGTTATTTGCATTTTGTAAATGACATATGAATTTATACATTTATGTATTTTTAATACATAAGTAATTGATTCTGTAATTGCAGAGAAAATAATAATTATTTAGAGAAACAATATCAAAGTATTTGATTAATTTAGGTTTTTTTTCTGTGTTTCTTTTTCCTAAATTTATTTCAATATGATATTGTAGAATTTGCTTATTGTAATCACTTCGGAATTAATCTATAGTGGTAACATTAAAAAATTTCTAATAAGCAAGGTATGTAAATAAGACTATAATTAGTGGAAATTTTAGTTGTATTGACTCTTATAGTTAAGAGATGTTAAAATAATTTAAAAAATGTACAAGTTGAATATTTATTAATTATAATTGTCATTATTCGTTACTATTAATTCATCTAGCATATAATTGAAGCAGCAGATTTTGTCAGCAATTTAAACTACTGTACTACAAGCAAAAACAATGTTTAATATTTAAAGTGCTGGTTAAGGATAACTGATAACATGAATTTCTTATCAGTTGCACATTATCGCATTGAGGCTGATATTGCAAAAAGACAGCTTAAAAATATCTGTTTATCTGAAAACAACAACTATAACTGAAACTGCAGTTACAATAATCAAAATTTTATAAGTGTACTTCTGCTGGTATGTTTTGGGACTTGCTGATTCTGATAACAATAAATGACTCACAGATAAAAGCTTTAGTAGTAAACAACTCAATTATCTACACACAACCTTGTACAGCAGCAAAAAATGACTGCAACAATAAATGACTGATAAATCTCCATCTAGTTCACATTTGCATCATAAAGATGAAAGGTCTCAACGGCAGTTCCATAAGTTGAGGAAAAAATTAGAGTCAAGACAAAAAGAAAGTAGCTCAGATCTGTCCACTCATCATTCTCCTACTGCTTCACCAAAAAGAGGTGAATAATTTTAAAATTGTTATTTGAAATTCATTTTGAAATCACATTTCTTATTATAAATTATCTTCAAAACATTTTATAATACAAAATATTTCATTTTAGTTTTAAGTACAATTTATTATATATTTTTATTAAAATTAAATAAAAATATATTAATTAAATCAAACAAAATTATATTAAATAAATTTTGTTTTAATAAACAAAATTTTTATTTACATTTTAAATATAAAAAAATCAATTAATTGATGCTATATATACTAAAAAATAAACAGGGAAGACCACACAAAAACAAAATAAGATATCCAAGCAATATCTAGCTGATGCAGGTATGGTTTATAAATTAAATTTATAAATAAATCAACTATTTTTTTATTAAACATTATTTTTGTAATGTTTGTCCAAATACTGTGATTATCAAAAATTTTTTTCTGAAATATCTTAATTGTTCTGAAAACGTTTTTAAAAGTTTAAAAAAAATTTATTTTCAAAATATAAATATCCAAGCCTGATAGTTATATATTAAAGCCAAATGGTTACCAGATTATATTGGGCTATATTATTACTATTGTTATTAATTAAATGCTAAGTAATTTGGCAAGAGATGGTGCCTAATGCCTGTCTCTAGTGCCAAATTAATTAGCATTTAATTAATAATAATAATAATAATAATAGTAATATAACCTGATATAATCTGGCAGTCATTTAGCTTTAATTTTTGTTTTAGTTTTTTACTTTGTTTATATTATTTAAAAAGAATTAGCATATAAGGCCTAATTAATATTACTGCAATAAAATAATAAAAAATATATATATTTGTATGAATAACAAAATTAACACGAATAGTAAATTAAGTAAAGAACTAAAATAAGAATATTTATATTCTAAATTTATACATTAAGGATAGTATTTTGTTGCAAATATGAATTCAGTGATAATTTTTTTCCTTTAATGGATTAAATTAAAATTAAATGTTTTGATAACTAATTGCAGGAATATAATTAAGCCTCACTATATAATTATAATTTATTACTGTATGTAATAGTGTTTTTTAGAATTTGTAATTAATTACTTATGGTAATATTTTGTCTTATTAATGTGATACAGATTTTATATTTTAAGATAGTTTTGATAAAAATTTGATAGATTGCTAGTTTTGAAATAGATGTTATTATTGCATCAGTATCAAAGTTTATTAGTATCATTTAATATTCTATTAAAGTATAATTTCCAGTAGCAGTCATACTTTGGTTGAATATGGTTGGTACTAACTTGTAGATTGGACATTCTGTAAGCTAGAAACATATCTTGACGTGTGTAATATGTTCTTAGAATTTTTAAGTTTTTACTCAGTAACAAAAATTAATATATAAATAATCCATAATTATTAAAATTATCATGAGATAAAGGCCTAACCATCCACCTCCAGTCTGATTACTTTATACCTGATTATTAGTTTTATTATAGCCTAATAATATAGCAAGTCATTTTGCATTAACAAAAACTAAAAGATAATTTATGGTTAGGTGTAGTTATTTGCATTTTGTAAATGACATATGAATTTATACATTTATGTATTTTTAATACATAAGTAATTGATTCTGTAATTGCAGAGAAAATAATAATTATTTAGANGTAACATATTTGTTTTGGAACTATTAGTTGTTTTTGCTCTTAATAAATTTTTTCTTATGTCTCATGACTTTGGTCATGACATTTTCTTGAATTTTAAGTTAAATTATTTTTGTATTTAAAGATGGAATAGATGAACCTGAACCAGTTCATTTTGTGTTTTTTTGTAAGTTTTCAAATGAATAATATATATAACAATCTATCAATTTAAAAGTTACAAAGAAAAATCTTTCCCCCATTACTACCACTGTATACTATTATGTCTATCACTATACATGCATACATACAACTGGGTATAAAATTATACAGTATAAACAAGATATCTTTTTATTTATCTTTTAAGAAAATATCTTTCTATTTTAAATATTTTTTAATGACTGAGATATTTTAACATGTGGTTAATGTTTGTAGTGTTCGAGCTGTATTGGAGGGAACAATGGGAAAATCTTCAATGTGTGAGTATTATTTTAATAGTATTATAGATGAGTATTATAGATGTTCAAGGGTGTCCAAAATGTTATACACTACACTTTATTTTTGATCAAAATTATTACTATTAATAAGAAATAATAGATGAACAAACTCAAAAGGCTGTATATTTAAGAATTGTTAATTTTTGTGATATTGCATGATGGTCAAAATGACTACAATTTTATTTCTGTTGCATATCTTCCTTGCACCCATAATGGCTGTCTAACTGTTCCTATTTGAAATAAACAATGTGTGTATTTTATTAGTTTTGTTCACTGTTGTTTATGAATTGTATGTCATTTATTTTATCTGTGGTTAACTTGACCATTATGCAACCTATGAACTATTTATTTGTGGTCATTTCAACCTTTTTTTTTCTACTTGATCTTTTTAATTTTGTGTGTGTGTGTGTGTGTATATATAGTATCTATTACATGTTATTTGATAACTGCATTATAATATATCTGGAAGAAAAGTTACATGTAAGGAGACACATTAGAAGAAAAAATTACAGAATCTTTAATTATAAAAGGGAATTCAATTTAAATTAGAAAAACTGGTTATACAGTTTTAATCATATTATTTTAAGATAGTTATATTAGCTTTTACAAAGAATACATTATGAAAAATCTGAAGTAATTTAATAATGTGTTCTAAAGTTAATAATGTTTGGGATTTTATGATCATTAATGTTAATATATTTTGTTATAAAATTAAAACTTTTATATTTTTAAAATTTCTTGGATAATTATTTTTATTAATTATGATAAGAATGAATTATATGATTATTAATAAAATACAGGTCAGCCACTGATTTTCTGGTATAAATTGATTTGAAAGTTTTACAGAATCAACTGAGGTCATATAATAACAACAATCAGTCCTGTAGTCAGAAGTAAATCATTTGAGAGGCTAGAGGGGCTAGCTGAAAAAATTATGACAGATATTAAACCAAACAATTGCTGTAATTAATCAGGCTATTATTAATAATCAGAAATTAAGTAATTTGGTATGAGGTAATACCAAATTACTTAATTTCTAATTATTAATAATAGAAAAATAGTGGCCTGAATTGCTTTAGTATCAGTGCATCAGGCTTCAGAATGTTTATTGTCTATTTTTGACAGGTACTTCTTTCTTTTACAGTCTGCACTAGGCCTACTAACTATAGTCCAAGTGTTTAAAAAAGTAACAGTAGCCTAAGTTTACATGATGAAAGAGAAAGTATGTAATGGGACTACAAACTAAGATGGCTTAATTACTTCATAGCTCCCATAGCTACTGTTCTGATAGCAGTACTACAAATTATGAGGATCTTTTGATAAGTATGGTAAAAAAGCAAGTTAAAGAAAGATTTTTTTCCAAAAATCTCCATTGAGATTATGTTGAAAAATATGGCTAGACACTTTGTCCAGTGAGTTTCCAATTTTTTAATCCCATCAAAAAAGTACTTTTTGTCAAGGTTAAAAAATATGCATTGATGACAGCAATGGCATCCTTATTCAATGAGAATTTCTTCCCACTGAGCCAAATTTTTAAATTTGGGAACAGGTAGAAGTTGGATGGGGCCAAGTCTGGAGAATAGGGTGGATGAAGAATCAATTAAAAGAGTAATTTGTGTATTTTTCCATTGCAACTATCAAATTGTGGGATGGTGCATTGTCTTGATGAAAGAGCATTTTTTGTGTGCCCATCTTGGCCATTTTTGTTTCAGCTCTTCTTTTACATGCTCTAATAATGTTGCATAATAGGCTCCTGTTATTGTTATCCCCTTCAAGTAGTTGACCAGGATGATTCGTTGGGAATCCCAAAAAACCTGGCTTTCACCTTTCCAGCTGACAAAATAGTCTTCACCTTCTTTGGTGCATTTCCACTATTTCATTGTCCACTGTTTTGACTGTTGCTTTGACTCAGGTGTATATTGATGAATCCATGTTTCATCCATAGTCATTTCTGTGGATTTTGGTCAAACATCACCAAACATTGAGTTGAAATGTCCTTTTGCATGGTTTTTGGTCAACAGTCAACAATTGCAACACCATTCGTGCACACAACTTTTTCATCTGTAATTTTTCATGCAGGATGTTGTGCACTTGGTCAGTTGAGATACCTACAGTCTCGACAATCTCATGCACTTTTACTTGGTATTCTTCCATAATGATACCATGGACTTTTTCAATGATTTCTGTCATGGTTGCCTCAACTGTGAACAACCAGAGTGCACTTCATCTTCAGTGCTGTTCAACCATGTTTAAAACTCATTTTTCCAGAAATAAATAGTCTTCAGTGCTGGTGAAGAGTCCCTATGAGCTTCATGCAACTCTGTTTTGATCTTGGCAGCTGGCCCCTTCTTTAAATAAAAATGTTTTATCACTGCACAGAATTCATTTTTTCCTTTTTTTTGTGAAAACTACTACAATGTTTGTTTCAAATGTCTGTAAAATGTGAAAATGCATTACTTCTGGCTGAAATTTGTCCTGAGCTAGTTTGAAAAAAGGACAGTTTTAAGCTGTGATGCCACCAAATGAATTGTGGTGCCATCTCATAAAAATTTGCCAAATTATCAAATGACCCATGTATATAATATTCACATCTCTACATTAAATGCCAACTGTTATTTATGTACAGTACAATACCATTAACACATGCTTTTTTGTTTTTAGAAGTCATAAATAGGGTTAAATGCAGGGTTAAATTCATAGCTCCCATAGCTACTGTTCTGATAGCAGTACTACAAATTATGAGGATCTTTTGATAAGTATGGTAAAAAAGCAAGTTAAAGAAAGATTTTTTTCCAAAAATCTCCATTGAGATTATGTTGAAAAATATGGCTAGACACTTTGTCCAGTGAGTTTCCAATTTTTTAATCCCATCAAAAAAGTACTTTTTGTCAAGGTTAAAAAATATGCATTGATGACAGCAATGGCATCCTTATTCAATGAGAATTTCTTCCCACTGAGCCAAATTTTTAAATTTGGGAACAGGTAGAAGTTGGATGGGGCCAAGTCTGGAGAATAGGGTGGATGAAGAATCAATTAAAAGAGTAATTTGTGTATTTTGAAAAAAATTGAATGAACTAAAAAATTACACAGAATAGAGACATCACCAGCTGCAATGTAGACAATTTGAGTGAATACACACTACAAATAAATATCACTGTTGTCATTCAGTAAACCAGTATAGTAGTTGCAGGAATTAGAAATTTCTTTCTAAAGAGGTGCCAGACTTTTGGTTGTTAATTAGAAAGTCAGTTGTGAACCTGTATTGATAAAAACATTCATTTAAAATGATAAGATTTAAATTTTGAAACAAATTTGAATTTTTTAGGTTCTACTTTCAAGACGAAATGTTGTGAACCAGATGCCCCACATCCTCCCAAACTTGTTTCAAGGACCAAAAACAGTATCATTTTAAAGTGGAATGTATGGAAATTTATTTATTTTTATTTATTTATTTATAATAATTAATTAATATTTAAAAATTTTTTTAGGCTTCTTCAGATAATGGTGCAAAGATCGTTAATTATATTTTAGAATATGATGAGGTAATATTTTTATGATAAAATTAAGTTTAATTTACTGAAAGTTTTTATCTATATTTTTATTATTTAATATTATATTTTAAAACGTTTTATCAATCTCATTTATAAATTTGTATTATAATTTTTTTGAAGGGAAAGGGAAATTCTGAATTCATTGAAATATTCAATGGTTTGCAGAAGAACTATAAAGTAACAAAGCTGAAAGTGTCAACATGTTACAGATTTAGGCTAGCTGCAGTTAATGAAATTGGAAAAAGGTAATTTTTAAAAATTTTATAGAAAAAAATATAATTATGACTGAATTGACTCTTAATAATTATAACCAGTGGTATACAGTCATTTACAAAAAGTTACTCACCCAGATAGAATTGTTGAATTAATGCAAAACTTGGCATACAGCTAATATGTAAAATATTACAGTTGTAAGGTGATTGTATGTTAGATAATGACATTAGATGGCCTTAAAATTGCTACCCCATTATTATATGAAAAAGCATTACAGAGGCTTAATGTTTAGAATTTTTGTTGTAATTTCTGTCTGGAGGTTTTCAAATGCCAGGCAGTGCAGTCAGATATTATGCACAGTTGATGGAATTTGAGAAAGGCCACATCTTTGCTTGAGGAAAGCAGAATGATTGTCTTCATGAATTGTCTACCATCTGGACTATTCTGACTGGTTGACTGAGGAAGTGTTACAAGTAGTGAATATATGAGGGTGCACCTAAATGGCAGACAGATCTGGATTTCTCAGACATCATCAGGAGAGATGATTTTCTGATTATGAGATAAGTGCAAACAACAGCAATGGCATTTTTGTCCTTCATTCAGAGGTAGGTGAAAGTTTTCCTACAGAATCCTGTTTCTTCCTATATCATTGACAAGTGACTTAGAGGCAAATGTGCATATAAGACAATTGCTATGCATTCTATCATTACCCCTCCAACATCATCTGCTTTGCAGTGGTGCCTGCAAGGTACTAAAGATTTCTTTAAATTATTTTGTTATTCCTCAGGATATTACACCTTTGCTATGATACTGCAATCACTTATCATTGTCGTTACATTTGCACTAATAGTTTTGTTCAATTTCAATGCCTTTTCTGTGTGTAAGGCTGGAGTCACACTTACAGAAAAACATTAGTGAAAACGTAAACTGAATGCCAAATGCAGAAAAATTTTACATCTCTGACGTGTAAATTTTCTAGAAAATCGACTCGAGAGGTGCTCAGTGGAAAATTTTTTCTGGCCGTAAGGTGTAGATGTTGACCAATCAGATCCCTGGAAGTGATGACATGTTTATGTCACTGATGTTGCTGCTATGCTGAAAATGAGAAATTGCATGAGCTGCCCAATGGCCATATTGACACATGTTGATAGTTGCGTTGATGCTTCAAAATCATGGAAGCTCAGAAAGAAAAAAGTTAAAGGTAACCGAGAACCATGTTTAGCTTGAAATGGTGGGTGCTGGAATGAATGTAGATGAAGTGCTGCTAGTAATATGACTGACATTAGATGGTGAAGAAGTTTGTTATTCTTTTTATTCCATTTTTCTTTTCTTTTATGATTTTACGTGCGAAACATGGAATTCATACTGAACAGAAAATTGCCATTACGGTTACATTAGCTTTTTTTTTTTCTGTGACTCACATTAGCTTTTTTTTTTTTTTTTCTGTCACTGAATGTGTGTGTAAACTTATGTAAACAACTTTGCCAATCTAAGATATTTATTTAAAACTAATTTGACTTTACAGTTTAAATATTATTGGTAAATATGTATAGGATATTTAAGATTTTTTTTATTTTTGAAGGTTTTTCCATTAATATCTTTATTTTAATAAATAACAGGAAAATATAATTGAAGAATAGTATAATTCTCTTAATTTTTTTCTATATTTTTTATCACATGTAATTACAAAAAACTTTAATGATATATTAAAACTTGAATTTTATAAACTGTTAAGTAGAAAATTTGAAATAATAGCCATTATATTGATAGTAATTATTCATTCAGTTTATTATAGTTTAATAAATAGGACATTGTGCAATTTTGTTGTATTATGATAGAATTGAGGAGGAGCCAGAAAGAAAGATGTGATCTTTGCACTTGCTGCCCACTCAGAGGCTATTCTTGCACTGGCAGGCACAGAGAGACAATCCTTGCACTAGCCAACATGGAGAGGCTGTAAAGTATTATATTATTTTTACAACGATTAGCAACACGACTGTGTGCCGGAAATAGCCGTTACCTAATGGTACTTTACGCAGATTTGCGTTAATGTGCCAGGCCTGGACTTTAAGCATGCACCGAATTAAACAATGACAAAATTAGTAAAAAAAAATAATTCAATATCTAATAAAGTTCTAGTAATAACTATATACAAAATTTAGTAAAAATCAAATAACAATTTATTCAACGTAAATCAATAAGAATCAACCCGACAAAACTCAAATCAATCTATATTCTAACTTAATTCTATTCCCCTTTGGAATTTGACAAAATTTCAAAGACTTAACTTATATACAATAATTCTTATGAATTAAAGGTCCTAATCATCACTTCAATATACTAGGAATGTTTTTCCTCAACTCTCAAGACTTTCTCTAATCTTTGATCTACAAATTGAATAACTTCAAAATCGCCTTGTAACTATTTTTTCCTATTGGACACCTCTCTCGTTTGCTGCTACGAAGCTCACCAACGCTCGTTGCTAACAGAAGCTCACCTTGTCTATTTTCACTTGAGGTTCGGTCTTTATACTGTGAGGTGATGTCACAATTCTAAGTGCAATCATTCCTTTCATTTACATACTTATTGCTAACAATAAATTTTTCTTGTTTGTCTGGCAGCCTATTTTCCGACAATACTCGCTAACCTTTTACATTATTCTTCTTGACAATTTTCGGGATGTTTATTCTTTAAGGTTTAGCAAGTTCCTAAGTTGTGCTTGTGGGGTCTCCCCCCTTTTCTCGGTGTGGAATTACTTTTTTCCGCTCGGGAGCACAAGTGTGCGCGAATTTTTTTCTACGGTGCTTTTCTCTCGTCAGTGAGTTGGTTTCTCTTCTATTTTCAAAGTTTTAAGGTGAGTAGTGAGGAAATCTTTGTCCTAACAAAACATAAGCTCCAAACAAAATAGAATAAAAAGCAAAATAAAAATTAAATAAAAATAACGCTTGGACTTGGTTCCTTACAAGGCAATCCAAAACAAAGTATCAAAAATTGGCATCAATCACTTTGTCCTTGTGTTTTATTTATTTTCTTTTTGTTAGCCACACACAATGTTGGTTTTTTTTATTTTTTCCTCTAAATTCTGTTAGGCATGCTAAATTTTATCAGGAAGCAGAGACATTGTCACTTTGATCCTACTGTATCTTGAAAACAAAGTTAGGGATCACAATTTTTATTATATATTTGGATTTCTCATTGCAGATCAGTGAAAAATGGCAAAGTTTTGTCAAAATCAAGCCATCAAATTTTGAAAACAAACTCAATCCTGTAAGCCTGTAGAAAACATGCTAGTGACCTTGGGACATCTCCCAACAAAGTTGTGCAATATTGCTTTGTTGCGTGTGCTCATGCTAAGATCTTATATCTCAAAAATGAAGTCATGATCCCCATTTTTTATTACATTTTTGGATTCTTCATTCCAATTAATGAAAAATGGCAAAGTTTAATCAAAGTTAATCAATGAAATTTTGAGATTGAATGCAATTTAAGCTGTACAGAAGAGGCTTCTCTAATGCTCCACCTCAATAATTTTTAATATTTCATGTTTTTGTATATAAGGATGTATACTTAAGTAAATATCAGCGTGTATACCTATCATTCCTGATTATTTGTTTTTCTACGAGTAGTAGTGCTCAAAGTCAGCCTTCACCACCTGTATTAAAAGATGCATCTATTAATAGACTTTCGTTAGAGTGGGAGTAAATATCAGTATACACCATATTAGCATATAATGCAAAGATGACACTTTTTAATACTCTTGTGGATTTGGCCAGGCCAACAGTGAGGATGGGCTTATCTGGGACAGATTGCCTATGAAAAATTTCTAGGCTTGTACAGTACACGTGGATTCGATCTCAAGTTCAGAGTAGAAGGCTGACTCTTTAACTGTCTTGGTCATCTGGTTGTCATGTTTTAATAATTAAATACAGAATGAGTAACAACAAATCAACAATATATTTGAAAAACGTAAATATAATGAATACTTTGTAATGTCTTTTAGAGTATAGGGTATTTATATACAAAGCATGTTTTGCTTGTATTTTTTATATAAT